GCTATCAGTACCATGTCAAGCTCTAGTTCTCGCACGGATTGCATGAGCATGTCATGCGCTGCCTCACAATGGTTGAGATTGAGCTGCAGTATCCTCATGCTTGTTTGTTCGTCAACTTCTGGAGTGCATTATGAAATACCGGGCACTTATGGGTACCGGCATGGTGGGCAACATTCTCTGCACTTTCAATCTCAGTACATAATGCACATTTGGCTGGATTTTCACAATCAGCAATCTTGTGCCCTTCTTGTCCGCACCTGATGCAAAGCCTAGACCGATCGATTTTGCTTTTGCACTGGGATCCGAAGTGCCCGAAGTGCCAGCATTTGAAACATTGGACAGGTCTCTTCCTTGATCTTATTCGACTGTTGGCCCAACCAATTCTCACTTTGCTGTTACCTTCTAGTAACTTCTGTGCAGTTGTCGCTGGTAGCGTCACTGTAGCAGTCTGAGTACCTCTGTAGGCTTTACGGATCTTGATCGACTCCAGAGGTATTTCACAGGTTTCTCCGGCTTCTTTTTTCAGTGCAGTTTGAATGTCTGCCTTCGTCGTGTCGTCATTGACGTCTCGGATCTCGATAGTCTCCTGTGGCCCTTTGCATATCACTTTGGCTTCCTCTTTAAGGATGTCCACGATGGTCTTTTGTAGGGCTTCGCCTCTATCAGCACTCTTTCTCGAGAGTGTGATCAGCATGTCCCCGGTATTGGTCTTGTGGATTTTCTCCACGGTCGTACGGACCTGTTCATCAGGGACGGACTGCTTGATTCGACGCAGGGTCTCGGCGTTTTTCTCCTTCTCGGCCGGGCGAATGATCAGTGCGTCGGGTCTGATCCATTTGCGGGGTTTTTTCCGCTTAGGCTCCGGCCTGGGCTCCGTTGAAGTCTGCTTTGCAAGCTGCTCTTTGGCTAGTCTCCTCTTCTCTTTTCTTGATTGGATGTTTTGCCAGGCAGCTGCGTCTTTATTCTCGGCGTTCTGCTTCGACGCGTCTTTCGGAGGACTTGGCTTCTGGTCCTTCTTCTTTGCCACTCGCCTTTCTGTTCGATCTGGCGAGTTTTGGTCCTTTCTCTTATCAGACTTGAGAACACCTTCACTTTTGTCTTCAGCAATAGATTCGCTGTCCCCATCGGCACCGGTGTCCATTGATTCCTCAGTCTCAATAACAGCTTGACTGCTTTTCTCTGGCGTAATGCGAGGCGTTAGTCGTCGTGTTGACTGCCAATCCTCATCCAGTGTTCTAAATCTTCGCAGGGCGTTGACTACGCTGGTCGTCTTCGTCTTGATCTCCTTGTGAATATTGACCTTGGATAGAACGAAATCCTGCAAGTCAATAGTCAGCTTTTCAGGGCGTTCCAGTGATTTTGTTCTCTTCATTTCAGCGCTTGCTGTTATCGCTGCTTCTTGGGCATGAGGCCCCTCAATACTCGTGTTAATTGTTCTCTCTTGCGTACTCCCTGTAGCATTTCCAGACAGCAGAGCCATGGGGTCCACCCTGCTGTCGTAACGGTCGCTTGATAACGACGAGTTCAGGCCCGTTTTCACGCCTTCCCTCGCCGGCACTGAGGTATCTATCCTCTGTACTGTAAACGATGTTTGAATATCTTCTGACATTTCCATATCGTTGTTTGGTGTTGTTCATTTAGCACTACCCGGAGAGCACGTGTAGGGTGTTAAAACAGTACCTACGGATGCGAACAACGCTACCCTCGTCTTGTTAGGTCAGTTAGTGACCAACTCATTAAAGGGGAGTTTTGTCCACAGGAGCGTATTTTGTTTGGTTATTTTGCTTGACTCCTACCCGCTGTACCTCATCAACTAAGAGATTATCCAAGTGTCATCCAAGGACAGCGAGCGTTCTCCCATCCGCTCCGGGAGACGCGCCCGGTAGCAGTATCTCTTCTGCCCCGTCGTGTGTGTGTGTGTGTGTGTGTGTGTGTGTGTGTGTGTGTGTGTGTGTGTGTGTGTGTGTGTGACATTACAATTTTTTAATTGATAAATAACAATTATTTTAGTTTCGTGAATATCTAATAGATGCGACTTAAAATTGATTAATCTGTTCACGATGAAACAAGCTGTTAAACGAATTATCAAAATTTGATTTACATTTGACTTATTATCATTATTATAATTAACATACAAAATTATAATGATTCAATTTATTCGGTTAAACAAAATCATTAACCTCAACTTAATCACTTAATCGTGGAATTATACTTAAATTTATTGATCCATGTTCCTGACAGAAGTACTTCCTGGGGTTGAGCGATGTTCATCACAAATTGGCAGGAGTAATCCGTCGGTCACCATATATTTTTTTTTTTTTTATTAACTCAATTAACAAACGGTACGCAAATTTGAAGAGCAGCGATAAAATATTAGAAGTACTTTAAATTTCCTCGTGAAATCACAAGTTCACAAGTCCGTAGCAACAATTCTGTTTATTAAAATTCTTTAAAGTTGTAAAGATATCGCGCAGATTATAAAATTCGCTGCACAATTTCACATGGTTCGTAGCAACACTTTTTATAGCAAATTTTAATTAATTTATCTTCACAAACTGTTATCGAAATCAAATATAACTTTTGATTCCAAAAATTAATCATTAGTCCACTGAATAGTGATATTACTTGTAAAATACTTATGTCGACTGTTGACAATGGTCAATGTCATATGTACGACTTGAATAGCACGGTGATAATCTTAAAATTTTAAATCAAAATCTGATATGTACTGAACTGCGTTAATTAATAAGATTTACCAATAACTATAAATTCATATTTATAGTTCACCAAATTTAAATAGATATATCGTCTAGAGGATTTTTAATAGTTCCAGTTTGATAACTGCTTAAAGCAATAACTCGTTAAAATTTTAAATTTCACTAAACTTAAATAAAGCATTTAACTGTCACTCAGTAAATCTCATCCTCACTTATGCACTTTAAACAGTCAATTTCTTAGCCTGCTGTATCCTGGTCACAGCACCACTGTAACGTTCTGAAAAATTTCATTTATTGAAATTTTAAACTGTTATAAAGATATTAAAATCCAGGTTGGCCTCTTTAAGACGTCAATAGACTCCAGGAGGGCCGTACAGCTAGGCTAGTTAAATATTTATTATAATGCGTGAAAGTAAGGATTTTAAGCTGGTTTACTGAATAATAGTCCTTGGTTTAAACTTAAACCTATAAAATTTATTGGTATAACAATAATGACAACCAAATTATAATTCGAGGGAGCATGGAGCGGAGCTCCGTGCTCTATAAAGATCCTCGATGGACCGCCTGTTCATTGGGCTACATAATTATACAATTATTATTTAGTCAGCCATAGTTGGTCTCAGGTTACACCTCGAGAACGTCGTCAAGGCCCAAGTCTCATGCTGAATTGCATGTTTAGACTACCCGCGAGCCACGGCGACTTCTTATCTTCAGAGATTTCCGTTACATATTTAGCAATGGAATCTCTTCATAAAATTCTAAGAATTATTAGCCCAAAGTAATTTTTAATTTTGGCGAGAATGTTACATCACATAACTTCGTCATTTCTTCTCGGATCGTTTTTGATGATATGGAATAATTTCAGAGCTGGAAAAACCGCGTCGATCGCCGCCAAAAACGTGGAAATCGGTTCATTAGTTCGAGAGATATCCTCAACGAAATATTTGGAAATAAGGATTTATTCAACATAACTCCTTCATTTTTTGGAATAACTTTCAAACAGCTCTACCGATCGATTCCAAAAACTAATCAGCTCTTTACATCATAAAACCACGTCGATTACCACCAAGCTGGTCAAAATCAGTTGATTCGTTCGAGAGATATCGTGAACGAACGAAAACCGAATAAAGTGTTTTTTCGGCTTTACTCCGAAATTTTCGGTTCGATCAATTGAAACCTGAAAATAACTTGCGGTTTGACAATTCGAAAAATAGTGTTCTATGAAACTTCTATCAGACTTTTGAGCTAGGAGAGCTCAAATGCATAGAAATATTATTTCTTTGAACTCAGCGAGCTAAAAATATCACATAAACTATATTTTGAGCTCAAAAATCTCAAAAATGTCATAAGTACAATTTTAAAGCGCCCAGGAATGGAATTAGCGGGAAGTTGCACGGATGGCCTTTAGGGTGAACCGTTTTTCTAATTTTTTTATTAAGTATTTACATATTAAATAGTGTTTTGCAGTTTGTAATAAGTCCACAGCATTATAATTGTTTTCGAAATTGGAATCTCTTTATTTTCACACATACGTTATAAATGTCATTAAAATATAATACTGACGTCACATTCTTACGTCAGAATCTTACGTCAGGAAGTGTGAAATTATGAGTCACATATGACTCATTTGTGACTTATATCTTTCGTAAATTTTGACACATAATAGCCTACTAGTTGGAAATATTTGCGAGAGTTCAGTAGCCTAGTAAGCAGTAAATCTTACCTCAATTACACGAACCATTCTTCCCGTTGGCTAGTAGAAATATCACTGAAAAATAAGATCAAAATTATTATTTATTATTTGTACAATCAACTATGTTTATGTTTAATCATATTTGAGATAATTTTTTTTTCTCATCATAGTTGATCAAACTCAGAAGAATAAGTGATCATGACCAATATTTGAACTTCGAATGCAATCAAGTTTATCCGGAGTCTGACTCTGAGAAAGGCACTTTGGAATTATGTTTACCTTCAACTATGATAGAAATTGCAGTTCAGTGATATCATCTTAATAGTTAATAATAGTGGCATTGTAAAAAACAAAAGGAGTTCTTATTTACCCTTATTTACGGACTATGAGCAATCATAAATTTATTCTTGAGAATTATCGTAAAAAAAGTCACTGAAAATTATTTTTAAAAATTTTAACGGGACTGGCTCTATCCGTTAAACGTCCCTCATCTGTACTTTGTTATTTGTCGGCGGATCACAAAGCGCTGTGATCTAAAGCTCCTATACCTGAAGTTTTGAGGTAGTAAATGGGGCCCCAAGGTAGAGACAATGGCGCGGTGTTGGTGGGAGAACGCAGTTGAGACGGAAAGACGGGAAACAACAAGCCGGGAAGAAGACATTGTGACTGCGGAACTCATCGGGATGACCACGAAAATACAGTAACGAGGTAAATATCCGTAATCCGCTTGGCTCTGTGGAATGTAGTGATGAGTTATTAATAAATCATTCAACTCTCTTGATAGGCTCCACGCAGGTTTACCTATTAATTGATAAATTCTAATACTTATTTGGGGTTACAAGCGTTACAAATATTATAAAGAACGTAAGTCGAGCGGTTGTTTTAGAGAAGCTACGTGAGATAGCGGACGGAAATTTTTCCTACTCACGAGATTTCCCTGAGTAACCAAAGTGAAGAACGCAGAACATTTAAGGAACTATCGAACAGCAAGAAAAAAGGAGGAAAAGTAATCTCTTATTTATGTATGTTTGCGTTTGCAGTCTGTATGTGCGTCGCACGGTCCAGCGCGTAAGGCATTTCTGTTGAAGAGACTTACACTTCAGCGTATGGAAGATGGTGGCGATTTCACGGAGCATTTGGCAAAATTCTTCGACGCTGTGGACAAGCTAAAAGGTATTGATGTAAAAATCAATGGCGACTTGTTCTCGATTATTTATATATATAAGCAACTTTTTTTTTGTTACCGATAAACTTGAAAACTACTGGACTGATCGGCATGAGACCATGACTATTCGACGCGGAATTACTAAGAGAAGGTTTTAGGCTAATAATTTTTTTAAATGCCATCAACCCTTTACCATTTTTTTTTCAAATTTATATGGATAGTCATTTGTTTTTGCTACTAAAACAAATGAACATCACTTCTTCTTAATATTCAAGCGCATAAAGACCGGCAAAATGTCTAACGTCACTTTAACGCGTTTCCACACACTCTCCTACGCATTAACACAAGCACTCTCACGCATCCACCTACGCACTTCCATGCATCCACCCACGCATTTACAACGTTATGACATGAATTATTGTCCATGGCAACGGTTTTGTCAATCCGTTTTTACAAATCTAACTAATAATTAAGCTTATTAAAATTGCGAAAAATTCAAAATCTATACATAGATAAAGTTCAAATGCATCAATAAGTAAGAAGCAAAACAATACTGGCTCAACGGCTAAGCGAAGTAAAAAAATAAACGATGACGAAGTCGAAATTTTACTTTTGGAAGTGCAATCTAGACCACCGTTATGGAATTTCGAGCTTCCTCTGGTGCAGCGAAGTAAAGAAATTGTATCAGCATTATGGCAAGATGTATCTCAGGCATTGAATGGTAAAAAATTATTATTCTAATAAATATTCGTGTTTAATGAATTAAAATGAAATATCTCAAACTGAAATTTATTTTACTAGGACAGTTAACAGCAAATGGTGCAAAAAAAATTTAAAAGCATACGAGATACACTTATCGAAAGTTAATCGGAGATGAACATCGTGGAAGTGTATCAGAAAGAGTGGAGCAGAGAGAAAAATGGAAATTTTACAAATCATGTGAATTTCTGCGGGACAGTTGCCTTATAAGACCGTAAGAAAACAAAATAATAAATATCGTAGCTACTGAATCGTTTGTTTGGAACATTTAGTAAGGTAAAAGACCCAGTTATTGACACTGGCCTAGTTGATTGACACTTTAAATTTTATTCTCATTAAAAAAATAGAATGATATCAAAAATCCAATTATCTTAAAAAAATAGCTCAACAATTAAATTATATTTATTAATTCATTAGAGTCGATTTGTTTTTTATAATTTTAATAAAATTGCAAATGTCAATAACTAGGCCAGTGTCAATATCTGAGTCTTTTACCTTCTTAATATTAATACTACAATAGTTTTTAAAAATAATAGTTTAATTAACAATAGCTATACATTTTTAATTAATTACTATGTTGGAAAACATACTTTATCTGTTCTATCTTTTGCAATTTACAATTTTGCTAAGTCTATTAATAAAAATTTTTTGTAGTATTTATTATTAACACATTCATGTTTTTATTTGCGTTTTATTCGGTTTGTGAAATTTTAATTTCAATTATTTAAATAAACTATAGAACGAGTAGCAATATGCCAGATAACGTCGATGTAGGTGAACATGATGATCATCGTAATACTTCAATGAATGACAGTGAAAGTGCAGCCGACAGTTTGCTGAAGAAGGGTGAGGCTAAGTTTCTTTATGAAATTATCGATTTACATGCTCTTAAAAAAATTATTATGGCTTGGTACAAATCTCGACACATAGAAAATCACGTAAACGAAACAAAGAAAGTGAGGAGACAGATATTTTGGATTCATTGAGTCGAATTGCTGATAAAATCTGTAATGAATCTATAACACCTGCATTACCTCCCCCACCGAGTATCGATGCAATTGATAATTTTATGATAGGTATTGGACATCAAATTCGAAAATTACCTGAAGAATTTCATTTTGAGGTTATGATGGAGATAATGAACTTAGTTTATAATAAAGAAAAACAGTATTCAGCATGCTAAAAAATGTATTTCTTGAAAGAATATATTATAATTGTTACAAGATACAATAAATTTTATTACAATTTTTATATATTTAGTAATCTATTCATTTACGAACCTTAAAACAAAAAAAATTTGATTTATAAATTAAACCATGAAAGTATTTAATTAGTAATTAATAATTACAATATTTATACACGAATAATTCATACATATAAGTTATTTCGATATATACAAATACTATTAATGTTTTATTACAATGTTGCAAATTTTATATGATTACAATTACTGTTAGGTGAAATTTCTTGTCTGTAATTATCTTTTAAATTAAATTGTTACTAAACGCGATTATATAGCCAGGAAACAGCTCCTTCTGCATTCAAATAATCACAGAACTCGTCACGAATCATCACCGCGGATCGACTGCTAAAATTGTTTCCTGGAATAGATCCATTTTTAAAAGCTGAATTATTTATTTCTTCGATTAAATGATTTGATTCGAATTCATATCGATATTAGATGGTATAAAAGTATTATTTTTATCATTTTTACGAAGCCAATTATGCAGAACTATAACAGCTTGGACTGTACTGATTGTATTTTTAACAGTTGCTTGAATTGGTTTTTTTTTTGTAATTCTCCATCTGTTTACTAATATACCAAAACTATTTTCAATAGTCCTCCGTGCGCGACTCTAACGGTAGTTAAAAATGTTGCGCTCTTGATTAAGGCCACCCTTACCAGGATACGGTCGAAGCAAGTAGTTAGTTAATTGAAAAGCTTCGTCACCGACCAGTACGTATGGTAAAGGCAGTCCATCTACGGTCAACTGTACAGGATCTGGCAAATTCATTTGCATTTGTTGAAATTTCTGTCCCATCTAAGAGTCTCAAAAAATACCACCGTCACTTCGCCGACCATAAGCACCAATATCCACAAATGTAAAGGAATAGTTAGCATCACAAATGGCTATTAAAACAATGCTGTGATATTTTTTGTAATTATAAAATGATGAGCCAGCATTGTCAGGGCACTGTAATAAAAATATGATTAAGTTGTTTGGTATTAACACACTCAATTTGCAGATTTCAAGTCAATTCAATTTATTGGTGTACCTGTATTTAAATATGCTTTCCATCGGCTGCTCTTATACAATGTAGAAATTGCCACTGTCTATCAAACTCTTCAAAAATTTCTAACCAGTCTGGCGTTTACAAAGAATACGGTAAAACTTTTTTATGGAGACAATTCCAAATAACTTGTCATGTCTCGTTAATTATATTGGATGCTGTTGTGAAACCAACAAGATATTGGTATGATATTGAAGTGAAACAATCGCCAGTTGCTAAATATCTGATAAAAATTGATTTTTTAAGTTTAGTTATCATAATTGTTATAAATAATTTATATTATCAAGATTTTACCTTAAAGCCATTGCAAGCCGTGCTGCTTCCGAAATAGCGTCTCTAATAACATTCTCTTTGGTTATAAATGGACTAACCAAGCATAATAATTCGTCAAATTCAGTTACAGACATGCGAAAATAATTGTCAAACTTATCAGAATATAACGAAAGTTTTGGAAAAATTGCTTCGAAAAATCCATGTTCAACTGCGACATTGATTATTGAATTTTAGCTCATTAAATTCTAAATCATTTAATCAAAAAATTTCTCTTTATTAAGCCACTTTTAATTTTTTTTATTAATTAATTTGATTTTCTACTTCAAATTTAACCTTTCGCTGACCCCACGTCACCTACTAATTTCTCCACACAAAATCAATCACTTAAAGTATCAAGAATCAGAAGAATATACCATTAAACCCGACTAAATATTAAAATGTGGCTGGCAATATCCTTTCGGCCAATAGCTTTTCGGCTCGGTGCTCGATTTTCAAAGCGTAAGACTGGGTTCTATTTTGTCATGAACTAATAAATAAATAATCCAATAAATAATGTCATTTTCACAATAATATTAACGTGCATAACATTGTCAGCCACATATTGGTGACCCACGGACTATTTTTAATCGAGTTAAATGTGGCGCCTTCTTCACGAAAAAAAAAAAAATCATTAAAGGCCACATGAATTGAAAGATTTTTAAAGCTGGACTTTCACATCAGCTGGGCTGACAAAGAGAATATTTCTATTGTGTACCTAGTGAGGAATACTTGCAAGGCTAGGTGGTGTGACAATCTCGGCTGAATAAAATTGCAGACCTCCCGTTTTGATGGAAGTCAACTTGTCAAAGTAAGAAGATCCTCTACCATCAACGTTGACCTTAGAGCACGGGCATTCTTCATCGTAGAGTGCCTTATGCTGTACAATGGTCTCTGTAGGATGGACCATAATGCACAGGCAGTAGTTGCTGGGAGACATGATTTCGGGAACCGAGGAGTCCGGGTATTGGCGCGACGATAATTACCAATTCTCTTCACTACTTTGATTTTCGAGGTCACAATCTATGGAAAAATTCTAGTAATATTATTGTTATATTATATTTGAGCTTTGAATCGTGCTGATATTCTAGGTAAATTGATTGAGAATGGACTTGGAAACATGGCGTGAATCAAGATTTTATCACCATGGTGAAACACCTGATTTTTGGTAGAAAACCACAGCTGCCACGGAGTGGATCCCAACGTGTTATTTTATTAAAATCCACCCGTCTTGACCTAAAATTTATATAACCTTAGATAACCAGCACAGATTAGAAATGTGTTTATGACTTTTGTAACGTAGATTTTTCTCACACGGTAGGTCTTTACGGCACACTATAATTCACTACGTTACACTTCGTCCATCTCAGCCATCTCTCGATCTTCCAGGAACCCCGACAGGTGCCAGCTGACTGTTGTTTCACCGGTATCGGCAATCGGGATACGATAACTTAATTTTTATGTTCCCAGAAGACCAAGAGCGGCCTCAACGGTAACGGAATACCTCGGTGTCGCTTAGTTATGCAAGTTATGGAGAGAGGGTCGTGATTCGGTCTCTCAGAGGAAGTAATTTCCTTACAAAACGGGACTCAATGATATTTAGTACACTAATCGGTACTCTCGAACTAACACTCAACCTTCTTAATCGGAAAAATAAACTCAATCGATAACTAAAATATCATGGAAGCAGTCTCAAACGAATACGAAACAAAGACAATGGCTTGGGCCATTTGTCTACGGTTATTACCGTGAGGCACGCCAGCTCCGATACGAAAGCCTAACTTAACTCTCAAACACGATGCTCACTCAACGAGAGCTCGCAACTAACTCCTTCTTACGGTACACATCTAACGCTGCTTAGCAGCCACGGTACGTCCATCCTCTACGAGGATCTCCACAAGACTCTCCTTTAACCCGGTCCCTACCGGACTTCCACACAAAACAAACCTTACTTATTCACTACTCCAGCCAGACTGCCTCTCGCCGTACCCCCACTACATTCATGTCACCTGCTACATGCACTTAACTCACTTTCACGCTACTCCCAGGCACGCATACCCCCACACACATTCTTACATTTACACAACTAGTGTCCTAGACCTAACAGTGATTCTGCTCCCCTGGGAGCTCAGACAGCACTCGCGACTACCCTCGAGCATACAGCAATCGCAAGCTACCACATGAACCTGCCAAACTCCCGTACTTCGGGGCGACGACATTTCAGTCGCTCCTATGTGATAATCACCTCACTCCAAAAGGCTGAAGATGAGTTCAGTCGTCGGTAACTGACCGGGAGACGCGTTACATCAGTCACTTTTCCGCAGTGTAGCTCGACATCCTCGAGACCCTAACATACTAGCACACATTCACGATAGTCCTCGATACTATTACACTACCGTACTCACACAACATAAACTTACATACTCACGTAAATACACTACTACTGTAACGCTACAAAAATGTAACGTTACACTTTATGGTTCTGTAACAGTTCAACCGCGGACATTTCAACCGCGACAGTTCAACCGCGACATTTCAACGGACGACTTTTCAACCGAAGGCTAATTCAACCGCAAGACAATTCAACCGATGACAGTTTAACTGCAGTTTTCCTGATAAATTGATCACAAAATCCATGATAATAGGGCACAATAATCATTTTTTTATTTTCGAAATACTGCGAAAAAAACTTTATAATTGTGATTATTATTACATATCTTGAAATGCAACAAAAACTACATTTCTGACCGTTTTTTATTTATTTAAAAACGAAATAACGAATATACAGTAATGTTAGATGACGATTAATTTAAATAATATCATGATAAATTACAACGACAAAACAGACGCAATATCATAAAGATACTTCAATTTATTTGTAGATTTATAGTCAGCAACGATATTATGAACACAAACGCGGGTAATTGTGTTGCGCCCTTTTAACATGGTTTTTGTGTGTGTTTACTCAGTAATAGGCCATTACAAACGCGGGTAATCGTGTTGCACCCTTTTAACATCGTTTTTGTGTGTATTTATTCGACATTAGACCAACACAAATGCGGTTAATCGTGTTGCGCCTTTTTAACATGGTTTTTATGTGTTTACTCAGTAATAGGCCATTACATACGCGGGTAATCATGTTGCGCCCTTTTAACATGGTTTTTATGTGTGTTTATTCGACATTACACCAACACAGAAGCTTGTTACCGTGTTAGGCCCATTTATCATGGATTTTGTCATCAATTTATCAGAAAAACTGCAGTTAAACTGTCATCGGTTGAATTGTCGCGGTTGAATTGTCCTTCGGTTGGAAAGTCGTCGGTTGAAATGTCGCGGTTGAACTGTCGCGGTTGAAATGTCGTCGGTTGACTAGTCACGGCACCACACTTTATAAAATAATAATTTAATTTACTATGGACTTGTTCCACAATAATTCCCAGAGAACTATAAATGTTTTCTTTTGACTTCCCGCTAAGAAAATTGAAGATTTTAAAAAATCGGGAAGTTATTGTTTTCACCCCGTTTTGCAAAAATCGAGTTTTTATTAGATCTCGACGTTTGAAGGTCACAGGAAGCTTCCCTGACTATCCCCGCGAGGTTGTCACGGTGTCTGCATGTATGTGTGTGTGTGTGTGTTTTTTTTTCTTAGGGGAGGGGGGGAATCCTTTTTAAGGATTCTAGGCATAGCTGTTTGGCATGGATTCTGGTGGCTAAGATGTTATTTCCTTCTTCTAGATTCGGTCTTTCGCTTTTTCGTCTCAATGGATCGCAACTCGGTAAGCACTTTTGTAGCAAAAGTGCTTGTGGCGTTCCAGGCAGCTTCTGACGACAACATTGCTTCTACTATTGACTCTGGTTGAGTTCTCTTTTTCAGAATCTTCTCTAACTCATCGCGCTGTTGGTTGAAACGTGGACACACAAAAGAAACATGCTCCGCATCTTCATTGACCCCTGGACAGGACGGGCACTCTGGGGTATCATCGTGCTTAGAGCGGTGAAGATACTTCCGGTAACATCCGTGTCCTGATAACATCTGCGTTAAATAATAGTTGATCTCACCGTGACTCCGGTTGAACCACACATCAATCCGAGGTATGAGACGGTACGTCTACCGACCTTTCTCTGAAGCATTCCACTCTTGTTGCCGTCTTGCGATGCTGTGTTGCCCTTCTTCGCTTCTAAGTTCTTCAGGGCTCAGTGTGGTTGACCTTTTTCGTTGATATAGGTTCCGTCTTTTCTCAGCTAGGACTCTGAGAAACAGAGTACCGGAAATAACAGACACTGCTTCCTCTGATATTGTGCAAAAGGCGCTAGCTACTCGTAGGGCAATCATTCGATATAATGGTCCTTTCTCCATAATTCTTGCGTCTTTAATGCGTCGGCCCAAATGGATATTCCGTAAGTGAGCACCGATGTGACTACTGATGACAATAATAGCCTTCTGCTCTGCTTTGGGCCTCCGACGTTCGGCATCAGTCGTGCGAGACTAGCCCTCAATACTGACACTTTGGCACTGACATGTTCTACTTGCTGCTTGAAGTTGAGTCAAGCATCAAGCATCACTCTCAAATATCGGATATAAGGTTGTGATGTGATTTCTTGTTCACCGACATTCAGCTTAATGGTCTCTAACACTTTTCTGCTGGTAATAAGTACTGCCTCAGTCTTGTGTTGCTCCAGTTGCAGGTTCACTGCGTCCATCCACCGGTTAACGCGCTCAAAAGTGAGATCGAACATATGATTTATCTCGTCAAGGTGTTTGAAAACAATCACTACAGCTACGTCATCTGCATATGCTACGAGTTTGACGTTTCTTGGCAGAGTTAGTCTTAATAGACCGTCATACATAATATTCCACAGGAGCGGGCCTAGAACTGGACCTTGCGGTACACCTCCAGTAATATCATAATTCCTCGGACTTTTCTTCGTGTCATACTTCAGGACCCTGTTTTCCAAGTAGCTTGCTACGATCTTAAGAAGGTATTCTGGTACATTCTTCTCTTGAAGGGCCTGCATGATGCAATTCCAATTGGCGGAGTTGAAGGAATTTCGGATGTCTAGAGTCGCCACCAAGCAATACTTCTTCGTTCCACCTTTCCATCTGGTTCCTACGATTGCTTCCTTGGCCGTATCAACAACCAGTTTGATTGCGTCCAGGGTTGATCGTCCT